ATTATAATTTGTCCTTGAAGCAATATTTTTCAGTTTATCAGACGAACAGAAGGTATATCAATTGTTTTTTTGTTTGGAAGTGACTTTTACAAATCTCCTCAGAAGACATGAGACCCAAACAATTATAATTTGTCCTTGAAGCAATATTTTTTCAGTTTATCAGACGAACAGAAGGTATATCAATTGTTTTTTTGTTTGGAAGTGACTTTACAAAACGACACCAGATTCAATTCCCAATACAACCTTGACATTGAAGAGATAAAAAGGAGAGTCAGGCGAACAAGTTCGATAAGAGCGACGTTGACATCATGTCTGTCGCCAGCTGGACTGCAGACAACACCGACGCAGATGTAAAGGCTAATTGAGGAGAAGCTAAAACCTTGATGAGAGTAACTAAAAGGGTCAGGACTGTGATTGGGATGTAAAATTCATCACGAATAATTATTCTCGAGCACAGCTTTTGTCTTTGACACGGTTATCGACTTCAGATAACGACAGCTGATAGAACCCCGGACATCCATTCTCACTAGGATAAAATTGTCCAGATCTAACCGAATTGATTTGCTTTGAGCCGACTTCGAGCCGGATCGAGCCGGATCGAGCCGGATCAAAGCCGGATCAAAGCGAATCAATTCGGCTCGATCCGGACAATTTTATCCTAGTGAGAATGGGGCTCAGGTTAGCTGCTCTCACTCGACGAGAAAGTCATGTTTGATAATACACATTTTTGATAACCTATTGATGCAACGTTCAGTTGGTAATTTGCATCATACGAATCATCAACCCAGTTGTTACCCGATCTAAAGGCTTATTATCGTCACGGTGGTAAGAGTAGCTGAAAGCAATAAACTTGTGCTATAATGAGCAAGTAGCAATTAACGTTGAAAATCACGGGTTTTGCCCTTGATACCTTCAAAGGAAACACAATGACATATGTTGACCCGAATATGATACAAACTTATAAACGTAACATTTTCAATCGCATCACGTACATAAATCCATAATAGCCAATTTCCTAGTTTCTCATGGGAGGAAAGCTGAAATTGTTACCTGATTAGTTCCGGTTTGCTTCGCTGACTAGAAACGAGGGGACTCGGGTAAAATGTAAACAGATGAAGTTCAAATAATCTGTGCATTTTAATGTAGATATTTGATTTGTTTGGTAGTTTTTCTGAAGATGTTTACACACACTGTCCTGCGATGTACAGTTACATTAAGTCACATTAATGTACATGTACCGTTTTACACGTCTAAATAATATTTTATTAGACTGATTGGAAGGCATACAGACAGGGACACAGAGAGAACCAGAGGGAGACAGAGACAGATTGCAGTCTCGTCTCAGATCTACGTGTGAAGACGCCTAGTAATAAGATTAGAATAGCATGTAATGTCCAGGGAATTAAGATTGACTTGTGGTACACCATGTAATCCAGATTGGGCGATCCTAAATCTGCCCGTCCTTGATGCATGTTTCCCATTGACGTAGAAGACATTTGTTATCACCCTGACCACCTATCGGGTTTACTACAATTCTGCCGACCCCCCGCTGTGTAATCCCTGTAAACCCCTACAAATGAAGCGATCGATACCCACAAGATCAGAAAACATCTATATACTCCACGGCTAAGCCTTGGGTACACCACGCATCAAACAACTTGATTTTCTTAAGGCTAAGGAAATCTTCCTCAAGGACAGCGCCGACCAGCCGGTAAAGATTTTACAGCACCAGAGTACAGAGTGACCAGAGGAAAACCAAACAGCTCTGTCACCCAGCCTAGCATTCAACACTGCCATCACCGTTGACTTGCTCATAAAGCTATCACCAGGCAGCAGCCAACTTCCTTAATCTAAAGTTGGCAAACTAAGTATGTTGCTCGCTTTCGTCTTGCATTTTCGTCTTCATCGTCTTGCCTGACTTGAACTAAATGATTTAAGTTGGTCGACCTCAAAGGCAAAAGTTGGATCAGACGGTACATGGTCAGTTCGATGTCCTAACATTAACATCTTTGTAGAACAAGCTCCTGTAGCTAGCAGTGCGTCTGTGTGATAACATTGGGAAGGCGCCATAGTTTTTACGAAGTCTAAACCACCCTCCTTTGTTAAGCGTCAGGGAAGCCCGTTGACCTCCAGGCTATCTGAAATAGCCGAAAGTTCTGCTGCAAATTGGATTCTGCATCACATAGCCGGTCAGCTTCACCCTCGGCGGTGCACTGCATACACAAACATGCTCCTCTCACAGTCTCACGGCTGATGGGGTCAGCTAGGCAGTGGCGGGCATGTTAATAGAGATGAAAGCACGGCCAACTCTATGACCTGGGGTCTGTAGTTTTAGATCAGGAAACTGATAACGTGCAAGGCGCCGTGGCAATGGCCCAGCCCTAGCGTTGCCTGGCATACACTCATGGGTTACTGTAATGGTCTTGGTAATGGAGCACGTGTTAATGACATGTTAACGACATGAGCTCTGCGGAGGTCTTTAGGCACAGACAATCATTACACTGTTGCTTGATTACAGTGTACCCAACTTCACCGGCTCATGGACAAAGGCCCCATTTTCATAATCTCCAAGCAGATCTTTTGGTGGCCAAAGATAGTATCCAACACGCGGACAGTATCCAGCCGGCCGACAGTATCCAATTGGCCACCGATGGGCCGGCTGTCAGAAAAAAACGGGGCATAGAAAAAGGTCACAATCTTCCCATTCAACCTCTGCTTGGAGAGTACCATTTTCACAGGACGGAGAACTTTGGGAAAACTGGTGTGTGACCAGATATCCTTTGTCCTTTGAAATATTGTGGAAATATAATTTGAATACATCCGGTCATTAAATTCGGACGATCATCGAGAGATAATCGGAAAACGTCCAGATCAATGACAGATCATAGAGATCATTGAAAAGCATCGGAAGGCCTCTGAAATCGTTGAAAGATCATGGAAAGACCAATGGAGGAGCTTTGACATCATTGAAAGATTATTGGGAGATAATTGGAAGACCCTGAAGATCATTGAAATTCCAGTGAGATGATATGAGTGTCATTGCTAGTCTTGCCTTCGTGAAAATCTCAACGCAGTGCAACCCCCTTCACGGTAACATGTTTGCCCTTCATTGGCCCCCTCTGATGCCCACTACTCTGTCCGTCGGTGTTAACGATTGAAGGAAGGAAGTCTGGTATATAAATTTGTTAATGGGGGGTATCGGAAAATTCCGCTTATTTTGACTTTGTCTTAGTCAGTCATATGTTGAAATACAATGTCTCTCGGTTCAAACAGACTCCCCTTTATCGAGCACTTTCAGACATAGTAAGAACATGTTTAAGACACATGAGTGTGACGAACATTACACTGCTCTTGGCTGTGCACGTAACCTTCCCCAGTGTGTTGTTTTCATCTCCATCAGTAGTTTAAGTTGGATGATAGTAGTTATGGCCTAACGGTGGTTTCTCCCATCAGTCCGTTTTTCCCGGTCTAGATCCTTTGGTTATGACTCACACATTTACTACACCGCTGACCAATAAACTTATGTGCGGCTTAGTTAACATACATTTGAAATATGCTAATGAGGTATAACTCTAATGCACCAGATCACGTATTGTTTATATAACCTGTAAAACTTTACCAAAACCAACGACAGCCGCCTCATATAGCCTTGCCGTTCAATGTCTGATCAAAAATGATAATGTGACAGGACAAGCTGACAGTCTTCTTAATCGACGTGCGTCATTCGGACAGTCGTAGTTGTTAACAGACGAAAGCTATTCGTTGAACCAAGAATTCAATCAATTTCATGCAAGAGTAGCTAACAACTTACTTACGTCAGCAAGGGTGTAAACGCGTTATCCATCGCAGTAGAAGTGAGTTACTTGATTGGTGAACCGTTTGATCGACGTCCAAGCGATAGATAAAAATGTATTGCCTAATAAGATTTTCTCCTTCGTTTGTGAAGAAACCTGATAAAAGAAAAGCACCCATCATTCGCCACTCTCAGCCAGTAAATGTGAGGTACATGTATCTGATTGATCGACAGACCATATGTATAAGGTCTGATGATTTGATTGTCGTTGGTGACGCTGGTATTAAAGGGGAAAAAGATACACGTCAGAGTAAGATTCGTCTGTTAAGGACTCGAATGTCCATCATTCCATACAGACACAATGCTCCAGAACAAAACACATCTCAGCAGTGAGGAGTATTGAAAACTTAAGTAGCATTCGGATCGTTTATTGCCGTTTGCATATCATGTGAAATGTACGAAGATATGGCTACACAATGCATTCTTCTCAAGTTTCCTCTTATTCTAGAAGGACGTCGAAAACTTTCAATCCGTGAGATGTCTTGGAGGCGCTGCCATTTGTTGCATGTTTGCGGTGCCGACCCGCAGGTCGTGAGGTCCGTAGGTTAAACACTCCGCCGTTAGCCCGTCTGGGCCCTGCCCACACACCGAAGATGATAAAAGACAGACCCTGCAGACAGAACTCGGAGGCGCTGCAGCGAGATTAATGTCCAGAACACGACCTGCCCTACAGATAGCATATCTGACGTAAAACAGGCCGTTCGGGATGAAGTTGCCCCGTTGGTACCGGTTGTAAAGTAAAACAGGATAAAAGCGGCTAATGCACAGCTTAAGGCACGGAGAAGGGCGGAGGAAAAAGCCCATTGAGGTCCATAGAAGTAGAAGCTAGGAGCAGGAAAGTGTAATAAAACAGGATTAAGGTGCTCAGCGCCTGAGGGTAGCTGATGGACATAGTGCGTCTCTTTTATTATTTCAGGGATTATAGGTTTACTTCAGTGGACAGGTACGGCCGTTATACACAAATACCCATCAAGATTTATTCATTGCGCGGTGGTTCTCTAAACTGTTTAAGAAAGTAGATTGAAAGCTGTACCTACGGGCATGGGACTGAACTAATGGGTCGATGATGGTTGGAAGTCTGTATCGACCCCCGTCCCGGTTGAGTGAAGGTTATTGCGCATTCACGCAGATAACGTCTCTTACACTTTTAATATTGTATTAAACTTCCCTGCCTAGACTTTTAAAAGTCGACCAGTCATTTTTGTTAAAAAGTGAAACGACGATGTTGCTACATGGCCTGTCGGTCATAAAATCCAGGCCCTAAGGAACGGAGGGCAATATGTAACCACCGGCTGACCTTGCTGGGAGTGCTTCAAAATGTTGACTTCTGTGCCGACTGAGTTCTGCAAATGGAATTCTCAAGGACAAAAGCAGAGGAAGCGCCTGAACAAAAAATTAACTGGCGCCAGAACATCACGTGCGAGTGAATAACCAAAGCGATGAGGCGATCACCAGGTTAAAAGCCCTCTGATTCCTCGTCAGTCGTACGACATAAGGGAATCTACGTTTACATGCCGCGTGTTAGAAATCATGAATGGTTTTCAATAGATATCCGCAAGTAGATTCTTGGTGATTTTCTGGTCGGCAATCATTCAGCCATTTTTACAATAACGGTTCAAGGTCGTTTCTGACGTTGGCCCATACGCCACAGGCTCATAATTAGCAAAAATATATATTGCACTTTTGTAATCACACACCGAGTGTATACCGAAACAGGATTAACTCAATCATTAGTATGATGTCTTCGTTTTTCCAGACAAGCCCACATTTTTTTTTATCTTTTCGTTATTTTCCTTATCACTTAAAAGATATCAAAACAAACAAAAAAAATATGGATGACATGCTCATGAAGACCCCAAACCTAGTCCGCGCGGGCGAACAAAAAAATCCGGCAAAAAAGTGCTGCTAAATTATAGAAATACAAAGATGGTATTGTGACTTTGTGGTAGTACATAGCGACTTACGACAAGCCGGCACATGCTGGCCTTTTGCGGCATTTATGAGTAGGCACTGTACTTGAGTTCCGTGGAGTTTCGGCAGCCTGAGTACCACCGGCTGTTGCTGGCTACCATGGACTAGGGAGGATGGCACCCAGGCCAGAGCCTCGAAGGAGGTAATTTTTTTAAGAACAGGCGAACATCTATGGCGCGCGGATGTCATCCATAGAATTAAATCAGTGTGGCCGTACGTATATGAGAAAACATTGCAGTCGAGCTAGAGGCAATTTTAGACGGGAAATATTCTCCATCTGCAGCCCGCATACCGCCCTCTGGCGTAACACACTGCGGATGTTGACGTACGTTGATGGTAAAGTTTACTTTGAAGAACACGTAACCTTAAAACACCCTTTCATACTCCACCAGTGTGTAATATCCTGATCTCTCCTCCAGGTGATGCTGGTACTGTACTGGCGGATCTACATCACGGTCCAGAGGCACAAACACAGCAGCTTACGGCGAACCTACGTCACTAGGATGTCTCCTACCGCCGCTGAGAGGAACATCGCTAACGATGCCCCGACTGGATCCAGTGGTGCGTATAGAAACAGGAAATTTTAGATTCCAGGCCAGTGTTTTCGTGGCCTTCAAAAAAAGATGACAGACCTCCGGAAAGTATTTTGACGTTTTCGTAGATGTATTGGACTGTGGAGTGGACTGTGTGATGTAATATAATCGGGTATTACATTTCCTAAATTCCTCCACATTCCTCCACTTACTCCCACCTGGCCCTTGGTGGGTCACATCCAGACGTGACCTCCCTATCAATTGATTGGTTACGCTTAGACACCATAACATCTGCTTGGACACTAGGGGCCTAATCTTTTCCTTTGCCAAGTGCGTGCACTGCACACACATAAACAACTTAACTGGGACAGTAAGCTGAAAGTAATGTGAGCTTAACGGTATCAGCCTTTTTAAATAGCTTTCTTTGTGACTTGTTTTCAGGAGCTGCAAATGGACGCGTGGAGAAGGCCAAGCAGCCAGAACCCAAACGAATATCCTTAACCAAAGAGTACAAAGCAGCCAGAACTCTCGGCGCCATAGTGGGCGCCTTCATCCTCTGCTGGCTGCCTTTCTTCATAGTGGCCGTGATCAGACCGTTCTGCAACGACACCTGCCGGATTCCACCGGTAGTGGATGGCGTCACGCTGTGGTTGGGTTATGCTAACTCAGCGCTCAATCCCGCCATCTACGGTGGACTGAACAACGACTTCCGTGCCGCCTTCCGCGCGATTGTGTGCTGTTCTTTAAAAGACTTAAACCAACGAAACCAGGGCATGATCATCACTAGAAACTGTCGAACTGAAATCAGAAGAGGAAGCGAGGAGTCAGGATCCTCCCCTATGGGGAGATGGACATCCTTTAAACTATCGTGCATCACATTCAACAGGAGCCTGAGCCGGAGTAGTAAGGGAAGTGGGAAAAGCAACAAGAATAGAGTAGGAAGAAATGTTCAGACAACACGCGTATGAGAGCCTCATGAAAAATATATTGATGATCTAGATTGAATGATCCGTACGTATTTTACCCAAAATGAATACCGAACGTCTTTTGTCTTCGTCTATAACATTGGTCCCTTGCTTCAGAACGATAGTATATATATATATATTCAGTGAATGTTCATTATCATTTGTTGTAATATTGTTGTGTCAGGTCCCCGCTATATGCTATACTTTGTCATTAAGAAATTATAGCACTTAAGAGAGCTTCTGAAACCAATACTAGATAACAGAAACTACTCCATATGTATGAAAAAGTGAATGTAATGTATGTTAACCAATGATGTATTAACTGCATAACGTTACTTCAAGCATAATAATGTTGTCAGAAATGACTGTTTGAAGATTTCTCCATGTTCGTGACTCTTCTCTTTGTTAGTCTCAGAATTTCTCTGTCTTGTTGCTACTTCATGTATTTACGAACACAACCACCCCGCCTTGTTGGCAACTGACCAAACTTTTGTGACAAATTATCACATCAAATCAAAGTGAATGCAGTTGCCGTGCTAAAATATGTACTAGAGAATGCCTCTGGGATACCTGCTATCAGACACTTTACGAGCAATATACGTCAGTCAAGATAATCAGTACTTCGTAGAAGAATATACTGTATCGAGGAAAACTATGAAGGTGATAAAATAAGTTTCTGTCAGCCAAAATATATCAGATAAACTGTTTCATTTATTCGCAAGTATATCAGATAGACCGGTTTATTTATTGGCAGATATAGAAGACAAGCAGTTTTATCTTTTGGAAACCGTTTAAATTCATTGGCAAATATCCCAGATAACCGCATATCATATGTTAGATTGGTCACTAAGTCAGATAACCCGGCCCATTTATTGTACTAGAAAATGCATCAGATAAACTAGTTTATTTATTTCATTTGCAAATACATCAGATAACTTGGTTAATTCATTGACATTGGCAAAATATAAGAACAGAAATCTGTAACCTCTAGCCTACGGTCAGCAGTTCCGCGTCGTAACACGTCATCTGTGTGGATTGTATATAGTTTAGGTGTAATAAAAGTGCTATTGGAAGGTTGCGTGATCAATCTTTATCTATCTGAACGTGTTAAAGTTAGGACAGAATTTTGGGGCTTCACCAAAGAGCTCAACTTCTTTCTTGGCTATAGAAAGCACAGTTTGAAACAAAAACGGTATCTTCTTCAACGATATTCGACGTAGACCACCGGAATTCGGCGACCTCTTTCTTGACTATGGATTCAAATACAGTTCGTCTTACACGGCAGACATACGGCTGTTTATCTACCTCGACCATGATCACTGCACGGTGCAGTAGTACCGCCATCCCTTGATGATCTTTACAGGTTGTTCTAAAATGAAAAAAGTCACTTTTGTTTAGGGATTCCGTCGACTATAAATGTAATTACAAGAAACTTTAAAAATCCCATTTGAACAACAACGAAAGCAAAGACATCGTGCTCTTACCTTCAGTTTTGATGGAGGCGATAGTTTCTTCTGGGACCTTCTTTTTGCCTTCAATTTCCTAGAAATAACAACAACATAATTAGGATGAATCATTAGCAGACAAGTCGACAAAGATACACAGTTTTCACCATCACATCACTTAGTTTCGCCATGTACCAATATGATATTAATGTCGACGGATAATAGTATACTAATAAGCACATGTAGTTGTTCATTACATCAAATTTCCTTTGGAAGTCTTCCTTGGTGTCGTCACACAGTGTCAGAATGGCGTCCTTCAGAAGACCCCACTCCCAATCCACTCTACGGTCACCTGAGGTACAGAGGAGAGGTACATGGTTTATTCTACCAGTGGACAAAACAAAAGTGTTACCTACACCTCTCTGTAATGTTATCCTGTCAAAAGATCGCCACAAGTCAAACCACCTAAGTGCACATGATTGGTAAATATTCTTTTATAAAACAACAATCATAGTAAAACACACAATGGTGTAAAAGCATTGTGTATCAAGCTATACATTTGATCATGAATCTGTAAGAAGTGTCAGGATATGTGTTTACCCAGATCTTTGTTTAGTTCCAGACTTTCCATGTACAACTTCCTGGCGGATTCATAGTCCTTCTTCTCGTGGTGGAATTTTCCTATCAGGTACACGGTATCGGCGATGTCTGGATGCCTGCAAGGTTTTCGACAAAATAGTAATTAAGTAATTCAAATAGGGAATGCAACATGATGTTATCACTTTTTTATCATTCTTAAGTTCATTCTTAAGTTATTCACAGCCATCTATATCAGTCTAGGGACTCACCGATCGTAATTCTTTCTGAAGATGTCCAGTGCCTGTTGGCCTTGGCTGATGGCGTTGTCGTACTGCCGCTTGGCCTGGTAACAGCGGGCCATGTTATAGTGGAGAAGGCCACTGTTACTCTGGCCCTGTACAAGAGATTGGTGGAAATTTCTTTAACTATGGGCAGTCGACTCCGTTCATGTACATAGTGATACATTTTCTTTTCAGTCTTTTCTTCATCTTCAATTTTATTAAAGGTATTATACAGCTTTAAGTTCTTCAATATCAAGATCATCATTAATGTCACAAATATTTATGTTTAATCAAAAACTATACAAAATGACCTAATTTAGAATAGATCACATTGTTCAAACTATAGAGGCTTTTCCTCAACGTCATAATAACCATAATTTGATTACCCAGCTGGCCTGCTGGTGGGTAAGTGGATTACGTCAGCAGCATGTCGGCGTGTCTAATCCAACATGGCGCACGTGACGTCATATGAAAAGCCAGTATAGTATAGGAGACAACAAGCTACGAGCAGAACTTTCCTCGGTTTTCATCCGTTTCTCGAGGTCCACTGCTTTGTCGAAGTATTCCAGCGCCTTGTCGAAGTTCTGTGAGCTGAGCGCCCATATGTTCTCTCTGGAGTAATACCAGCCCATGTCCAGGTAAATGGTGCCGATGTTCATCAGGTAGGTGGGGCAGTCGATGTGCTGGTCAGACCCTGATACAGGACAGAAGCATTACTAGGGTCACATTCGTCCTGCGATCTTCGAACTGAGGTAGTTCTTAGGATAGCCATGCTTTTGCCGTACAAAATTTACTTGTATTATTACCGACAAAATTGTCTTAGATCTTGGTCGGTGGCTGATTTTGTCATAGCCCGCTTGAAAATCTTACATGGTACGACGACCTACGACGAAACATTCCACCCAGCAAAGTGCCTTCAGCCAGTCAGATGTTTCGCGCTAATGTTACCAGCCTATTACGTCGCCTCTTTACTGTAAGCGGCAACGTGATTGGCTTGTAACTTTGCTGCGATAACTAGGTCTCTGCTTGGCTGTCAGCACCTGACACCTTCGATCATAGACATAGGTATGCAAAGTGTTAAAATGCTCTATTTATTGTTCTAAAATGTAAACGTATATATGACCATATCTATGAATGGCCCACCTATGGCTCTTTGAACCATTTCGTACGCTTGTCGGTGCCTCTCCAGTCCTTGGTTGAGAATGTTCACGTACTCCACTGGATCCCTGTCCACCGTTCTGGCGTGACGGTGGTGAGCGAACCCCAGAGAGTTCACCGTCCGAGCGGTCATGATGTCATCTCCTAAGATCTGAAGTATAGATGGATATCCTGTTACGTTGTATATAATCTCGTAATTTCAGTAAACCATTCACAGAAAACGAATGGTCAAACACTACTTTTGAAGAGCTATCCTATCTGCAAATGTCAGGTTACGACACTGACAGAAATGTATGGCAAGTCCAATGCAAACCATAGTTTGCGTAGGCAATGAAAATCGTCTTGCTTGGTCATAGTACAAATGAATGCATAGAACCTGTGTTATTTTCAAAGATTTTCGTATGTTTGTGTCGATGATAGTTCGTACCTCCGATTGAATCTCAAAAGCCTTCTGAAGCTGCTGGACATTCTCTTCGTACTGCCCCAGCTGGCTGTAATACACGCCTGGAAGCCATATACGTGGAAAAAAACTTGTTGAATTTGCCTTAACAACATGTGAAGAAGATTTTATCAGGCAGATGGTGTGGCAAACAGGTTATAGACATTGGTAAACAATGACATAAAGAAATCGCTTTAAAAAGGTTTGAACACACCTTCCACGTAGTGATAGCGCGCGAAGCTGAGCTGGACGGTCTCCCTCCCTCCGTTCGGCAGGTCCTGCAGCGTTTTGAACGCCTCGTCCAGAAACCGCCTGGCCGCCTGGAAACTCTGGTTCTGAAGGATGTTCTCAGCCAGCCAGCACATCATCTCTGCTGCACACTGCCACTTCCCCTACAGGTAACCCATCTTATTTATTTATTTATAACAACAGTCTTGTAACAGTCACATGTACGATGTATCTAGGGTGTACATAGGAGATTGTATGTATTTAGGTTTGAAGTATTTTTCATTAGCTGTGAACCTGACTAACCCACGCACAGTACGCACTAGTCTTACCTGTTCTTTTGCTGCGTTCATGCGGCTGTTGTAGAAGCGGATCCGCTCGTCCACAGTCAGCATCTGCTCCAGTAACACTCCTACTGACGCCTGGTGCGCGCTCTCTGACTCTGCCGGGTCCAGCCAGAACCGGTCATCGCCTTCTGTATGTTTGGTCCTAAACAGCGCAACCGATGTTGTTTTCATGTAGGTGTAAAGACACAGACAGACAGACAATTCAAACAATTCTCAGCATGGTCCAGTCAGAACCAACTACAACCAGGTTTCTTGTTCTATAAACAGTGCAACCGATACTGTTAGGTAGTTTCTAAGAACACAAACAGACAAGCAAACAAATAAACAAACAAACCAAGCCCTGTCTTTACAGTGTGTGTGTGTGTGTGTGTGTGTGTGTGTGTGTGTGTGTGTGTGTGTGTGTGCGTCTGTGTGTGCGCGCGCGCCTGGGTATGTGCACGCGCGCACGTGTGTGTTTACCAAGTTATATACCTCTCATGAACGTCGGTTGTCTCACCCACCACCAAGTGTAGAAATTGTGAGAAGTTTGCCGAGTCCTCGTCGTACTCTTTCAGCGCCCTTTCCAAGTCTGACTTCATGGTTTTGGCGACGTCACGCATGCGGCCCTCGTAGTACTGCCGGTTAGTTAGGACAAATATCAATGTCATAATCATGGATATTAATGGTACCGTTCTAAGTGCAATAATGACTACTTCTTGCGGCTAGGTGACACTGCTACGAGAATGTTGCCCACCACGTGACTGAGTCTATAGCCCCCCCCCCCTTGTCTCTGTCCATCACTGCTGTAAATTGGCTAATCCAGATCTATCCTAATCCAGCACGTCTTCTTGTTTATACACTGATGCCCCAGTTAGCTGGAAACTACTTGATATTTACTAAGAGATTCATGGGATGAAACTCCGATTTGTTCAAAATACACATATGCCTGAAGACTCGATTTTCATAATTTAACTCAATCAGTCTAGATTAATCTTTATGCAAGGAGTCTTGTGGACAGTTTAGTTGCCCCGACGGCAGGACAGACTGCTATGGGACCGGTGAAGTGAGGAAGGAGTTCCATATTTTAAAGGGGCCCTGTCTATGGCTTCTTCAAACAAAAGGGTGTGAAACTTACCCTTTTAAAGTGGTATTCTGCTTTTTCTATGATCTGTCCGACGCCAAAGTTCCTGTTGACGCGCAGAGAAGATAGGAAGGTACGAAGCAAATCATGCATGTCGTACCGCGGTGGACCGGCAGGGGACGCACTGCAACAGTCATGGGAGACAATGGTCGTCATTAGGGGACAAGACTCGAAGGCTGCGTCAAGGTTATAGGTTACATGAATAGCACAAAATTATTTCTACGTGGTCAGAAACCTCATGATAGAGACAAGATTCCAATTACTAGAGTGAGAACTAAATGCCATGATGGGAGAAGCAGGGACTCAGAAGCCTAGAAGACCCCTTGGGAACATTTTCTACCAGATCTAGATCCATTAAAATGCTGTGTCGGTTTGGCGGGTACTGATCCGGTACACAATCTTGTGCTGTCAGGGGCTGATTGTGCCTCCTCCCCGAGGGCTTGTTATACGCCATGCTAATTGGAGAAAGTCATTCCCAACTACCAATAGAAACTCAGGATTCTTTAATTTATCACAACAATCCCCCAATAGGATTTCAGGTCGATCAGCTTCCAACATTATGGTAACAGACAGTTCTCAATCCGATAAAAAAATGCTCCATGTTAACATATGCATAAATCACGATCAAGATGTTCCCAGTTCTCCTGACTTTAAGGTATTCTAGCCTGGTTACCAAACCTATTATAGCTCCCGAGTCCTACATCCTCTCCGCAAATAGGAGAGGGTGTAGGACTCGGGAGCTATAATAGGTTTGGTAACCAGGCTAAAGGTATTCGTCATCAATCCTGAGTCCTGACCAGTAAAAGGTTGCTAGAATCGTGATGCGGTTAGGCTAGGTACAGACCTGATCAGGTTACGCATCTTCAGCTCCCACAGGAAGAAGCCGACCTTCCCGCCGCCCAGGACCTCCTGAGCAGCCTCCTCAGTGAACGGTCCTGCAAACACGGAGACCTGCACCAGCACGTGTTGGAGCCGCACGGGCATGGAGTTGTAGGCTTGTAGCATGAACTCACGGATCTCCTTAATGTTCTTTGGCATAAAGACAAAAGATCATGTAAGGGGTGGTTCTACAATCCAAAGCAAGTGCAATGTGGCTGGTCAGACAGGCCCAAAACTTATCTAGACACATTATAAAGTAAGTAAAATTTATAGTTCTTTTGTTCTTTACTGGTGGCATTTCTAAAGAAAGCACAATAGTCAATGGTGTTCAATTATGTTGGGGAATTAGTAATTTTGTTCATACAATAGACCCTGTATATTAATAAATTGCGTTTTGTTTTCATAGGTTTATCTATTAATTTCTGAACATTGGACGAAAGTAACAATATTAATATTGCTTTGGATGAAATTTACAGTGATAATAAACAAGAATCTACCTGTAACGTTTGCAGCCTGTTCAGCATGTCTGCTGGCTTCACGGCACCATCCCGGAGCTGGCTGCAGACGATCTTGATCGCGATTGGCCAATTTCCGCATCTTAGAAACATCAAACATCAATCATTAGATATGCGAAATCATTCAGCCATCATTCAGGTAACTTTATGATGTTAAATAACATAACATAACATAACATAACATAACATAACATAACATAACATAACATAACATAACATAACATAACATAACATAACATAACATAACATAACATAACATAACATAACATAACATAACATGAGACGGGTGACGGTATAGACTTCCAGCCACCTTTGACCCCGTGCTCAGGTCACACTTCTGGAAGGTGAGGTAGATTGTGTTGAAGTAGAGTTAAATTCATTTTCATAACATAATGGCATATGATCACATGTTTTACCTGTCAGCCAACACCTTGGCATCTCCGGGTGTTATGACGTTCCTCCCCGCCAGTTTCCGCACCAGCTCCACCCCTCCCTCCCGCAACACGTCCAGCTGACACAGGATCAGGCTGGTGAACGGGGAGTCATCGTCAATGAGATGGACTCGAGTGGTTACAAATATCTGGATCTGGAGGAAAGATGTTGTTAAAACGTGTCTTTAATAAATTGAACAAAACATACCCAAGATTGCAAGGACTTTCCAGAAGCAAAATAAACACTTTGACAAATGGTAGAATATGTGAAATATAGTATTATGTCATATTGGAATGTACCTGGGAATTTCGTTGCTTTTCAAACTTGACCAAGGTGTTGAGAAAGTCTTCCCTTGTTTCTCTTTTCTCCAGCAGGCCATCTGCGTTGTCCAGAATGATAACAGACTCTGTATGAAAAAAAGGATGCCAAGTCTTATTAATTCAAATCATAACGATTAACTTTAATTTTGTATGGCATAAAGTTTTATTTTCCCTGCTACTGTTTTAGCATTAATGAATACATCTTTTGGCCAGCTAACTGGTAAAAAGAACACACAGTATTTATATATGTCAAAATGACGGGCATAGATGACTTTCATGACTCTACGTTTTTACGTCCACTTGCTGATAGTTACTCAACGCCCTGTTCCCTCCCCACCTGATCCACTGTAGCTCCGGATCGTCTCGTACACCCTTTCCGGCTCACAGTCGATCAGTGGGAAGCCAAACTCTCGCATAATCTTCAGATGTACATTTTCCACGGTCGTCACCTATAATAACATGAATGAGATATGGTCACACATTCTGCTGGACTGTCAGAAGTGGCATCCGCCTAGACTGAATTGTGATCAGGAGACTGAAGAATAAAGGAAGGGACCAAACAGAACATTGTTCGACTCGTGATATTAAGGCTTGTTTACAACTGTCTCAACTGTCTATAAATGTGCATCTTAGGGTAGTTACACGAATTACAAATCCATGGACATTATTCATTATTTCTAAAGATGAATACTTGAGTTTTGAACATATTGTACCTCTCGCAGGTCAATGAAAATCTCTTCCCTCTCTTGCTGTGCGCATGCATGGTGTGCAAAGGTAGTTTTCCCAACCCCGCCGAGGCCGGTAATGCTGACCACCTGTATACATGAAGACAAATATCGGTATGTGCTTAAGAAACAAACACCTGCAGTTCCTATGGAAGCCACCAGAGGCATCGAAATCAAAGCCCACGTCTTTTGTAGTTGTTAGCATATCTACTTACTGAGGAAACGTGATGACTCGACAACATATAGCAGCGTTTTTATGTCCAGATGTACTTCATTACTCCTCTAAGTACAAACAAAACGCAGCAAAAAACAGACTTCGGGGAAGTACCCAACCCTGACTTCCCCCTTGCCCATATCAACGGTAGCGCCAAGTCCTGTTGGCTCCCCGTCAGACTCTGAGACCTTCACCTTTACCCCGCTTTCTTTGTCTGACCTTTTGGCCCCTTTCTGTCTGTCAATTTTATCCCACCCACGTGTTGTCAACCTACTCTGCCTGCACAAATAGATACTGGTACACAAACCCACAGCTTAGCCACCCAAAACAATACATACTTCTGTATACCCTGGATTATAAATATTAAAGGAGGTTTGTAACTCTACATGACACTTATTATGAAACTGGCTTGGAGGGATATGAACTGATCTCTGTGATGAATGACAAACAGTTTTGGCGAGCTAACTTTGTATGCTCCACCTCTATTATGGAGGATGAAAGATGATGATGATGTAACTCTACCTTCACATGTTCCCTCTGGTCGGCGTCGATTTTCTCCAGAAGAGCATTCATGTCATCATCCCGCCCCACGAGGTCAAGGGTCACCTGATCTCGCTGAAGATTCTCCTGGTTTTCTAGCTCGACTTTGTAAGCGTCTATGTCATCCTGCAGTACAAGTCATATCTTGAAGCATTTTTGTTTATTCCTGATTGTCTGTTACATAGCCATAGGACCAATAGAAATTAGAGTTAATAATAATAATATACGAATTAATTATATAAAATATTTGTAACCCCAGAATGCACTTCGAGTTCATCAATTTGTGAAAATAAGGGTGCGATTGCCAGTGAGTAGGTTCTCTTTCTACTTTATAAAAAAATGCATATGAGCAAGCAGAAAGCTGATGATAACCAGGGTACACATGAAATTATTTCAAATGTTATGTTAAATTCAAACGTACCTTGAAGTACTCCCTGTGGAAATTCTGAGTGTCCTCTAGCAGCCGGAGGATGTATTCAAGCCTGTCTTCATCGTTATCTCCGGTCCGATTTTCTAAGAAAATGAAATGTCAACTACATGTTATTTGACACACACACACACAAACACACACACACACACAAGCACACACACACACACACACACACACACACACACACACACACACACACACACACACACACATTCAGATTTCAGTGCACCTACATTCTTGTGCAGAAAGGGATTAGCCGTCTTTACTATTTGTTAGCCGTATTAGTTTACATTCAAGTGTTCAAGAATATCCATCTCATAGAGCTTGGCGTACTTCCATGCAAAAGTTAAATATACATTTTCTTATTGCTAAAAACTTGCAACAAAATGGAGTTGTCACCTTCCTCCAAGTGCAGAAACACCTCAATGGCAGTTTCACAGTTTCTGTACTTCTCTCGTTTCTCCTCGTTCTGAGTGTCCCACAATAGGGATTTTATGGTCTGACAAGGTGATTAAAGAAAAGGAAAACCAGAAATCACACAGTCCATAAGGGAATACATCCAGGAAGACAATGCAAATGTCTATCAACTACAAGCCAACTTCCCACATTTATTACATCCATTTATCCGAATGGATAAATCAACCGTACCGAACTGCCAGACAGTGATTCTTTCTTAAAAAGGATTGTTTGACTTCAAAATATTGCAGTTGAGAACTAGCTCATTACGTGTTACGCATAAGAATGTTAAGAACGCCACTATGAAATGTGTATATTCACTTACTATATAAACACTTGGACACCATGGTATGTAATGGAAATCAGTCTTCATTTTCGTATCGGATGCATGTTTGCAAAGGGATGGCATAGTTACGGGTAATACATGAAAATGCACATATGGCCCGGACTAAACTATCCAATGTCAAAAGAGAACATAAACAAACAGAGATAAAGCTTGGAGAGGTCAGAGGGCCGAAGCCTCCGTGTTCTAAGCTCACCTTCAGGTCATCGTCCTCCATAGACAGGGAGATCTTCTGCAGAAGTTTCCGGAAGGGTGTGACCAGGGGAGCCAGCTGAAACTTTTGTAGGTTCCGCTTGGAGCGACGTGGCGTCGGTGGCGGCATCGTCTTCAGCCCAGGTGCGTTAGACACGCTATTGAATGCTTAACAGTGGCATACACAAATAATTATGTTTTCCGGCGTACCAAAAAATATGAATACCCTTAATCTAGTATATCATATGCAAATGCTAGTGTTTCATCCAACGAATAAAAGTTATACTGTCCAACTTGGAATGAAAGTACAACTTACTTATATCGACTATTATTGTGTGTTTAGGACCATTTTAGCTACTGCACGTAGCATAGATTTTATCTCATTTTACTTTCCGTTACAGACTACAAAAACAGTACATCCATTCAGCTGTGGTGGCTGTTATTTTACTGTACATCGTCAATAACAATAAACCATTCATGAGTTCCAAATGATATGGATCACTGCACTCATGACTGAGTACCAATTGTTGAAAGTCAAAGGTATTCACTTCGACTTTCACTGTCAACAATAGCAGTGAAACAGAAGACCTTTCACTTTCAGGAACTCAAAATGTAACCGTTAACTTCACCAGACCGTTACAAGTGAGTTATTTGTACCGGGAGCGCTTTCTTAGGGCGAGGCCTTAAACATTGTGAAGTTGGAATGGACTGTTCTTGGTAGTTTAGATTCGTTCCTGTTATTTACATTGCCAAAATACAGCTTATTGGGAAGAAATATGGAAAACATATCATAATCATCATCGTGATTGAAATATGGACTATCATTTTGTATGTTTCAGATGGCAGGATATTCTCCCAGCATTAAAAAAATGTTTGCCGGCTACGTATACATTTTTCTATAATTGGGAAATGTTGAGGATCACATCTAGGTACCGGCCATTTACAAACTCAAGTTAACTCATATAGTACGTAAGGGACGGATAACGATCATATACATATGTATAAGCTTGGCATGCTTTGAAGTAACAAGTTTAATACAATAAATATGTTGCCACTATTAGCACACAGACACTGTAAAAACAAAACAAAACATACACTGTGTGCTACCGGAAAGAGAAATGGTCCGAAGTCTACGTGTTTATGCCGTATTCACTGAATTTGCAGCACTCTCTTTTCTAATCAAGGTTCATAATTAATGTCAATTAACGATAACGTTGTTTAAAAAGAAGCCATGGCGACAGCAGAAGTCCTTACCTGATAATTCAAGAGTTCGGTCTTGTCTGCTGTCCAAGTTTTGGCGGTCTGTCCCAACCCGGAAGACAATCCTGTCCGACTAGCATTTCATATACACTGAGTTTAGGCGGGAACTTGGGTCTAAGTTGTAAATGATATACTGCCTCTCATTTGACGCGGAGCCAAGTGAATGGAAACAATAGACACCTGGCAGCCAATAGCAGGTGTTTTTACAACATTGAACTTTGGCCACACATCCAGTAGCATGCCGGGAAGGTGTGCAAGTAAATGGCGCGAAAAGGTCACTTATTGCTGCTTTCCAATTCCACGTCAATCAATATCTAGTAGTACCGGATTTATTTATGTCACTTAGGACCGCTATATTGACCTTAAATGCGTGGGATTCATAAATGGGAGACCATTCTGAATAATATGTACAGAAATCGTACTCTCCAAGCAGAGGTAGGGTCGCTCGGTATTTTGGCAGTATTTTCGCGTTTTTAATACGT